TTGTATTAGTTACAGATAACCTTTCTTTATATAATAGATCAAGTATTTTAGAAATATAAGTATGCAATTTTTGATCTATAATTTTCTGTATTTTAGATATAATATTAAAAGACTTTTATATTGCAACCTACTAAAAGAGCCAAATACTTAAGGTATATTAGTATACTGAATATAATTTTGAGAGTTTATATTAAAAGTAACAAAACTAGTAATAATATGAAGTATAACTATATTAAACTCCTAGTCAAGATAATTTTTTTGCCTTCTTTTGTTCATTATTAAATACTAAAAATAGAAGAACTTTTGGTAAAATTTCCTCATTTTTACATAATTCCTCTAACCAATTTTGAAAGCTAGAATAGCTTCTAGAGCTTGTAATATAATTGTTAATATTTATAATAGTTTTTGATCTTGTAATAGAATATTTGATAGCTGATATAATAAGATCTACTTCTGATATATATTTTCTATACATAGATCTATAAACTAAATCAATAGCTATGGTCTTTTTAAAAAGTTTTTTAATATTTTTGAAACTTATATTAAAATTATTATTAGTCAATAACTCTTTCTGATAATTACTCATACTAAAATTTTTCAACTTATTTTTTTAAAAATATATAATAAACTTTGTAAAAACATAAGAATAACAAAGCAGAGAAGTATAAGACAGTATCTGTTATTTAGAGATAATTCTCATATGCTATCTGCTAATAGGTTTAGAGTTTATTACTTATTGCAATATCAAAGTAGTACTTGTTATTTAATTATAGTTCTTATATACTACTTGCTGACAAGCTTAGAGTTTATCACTCACTTACTAAAGATAAGTACTAGCTATATTCTAGATAAATACAAGTAAATAGTAGATTTTAGAAGATATATACTTTTTTTAAAAATTTTGGTACTATTATCATTTCTTTTTTGATTCTTTGAATTTCTTACTATTGAAAATTAAAAAAGTAGAAGATTTGATAAACTCCTAACAAAAGATCTGCAAGTTTATACTACTTTCTAATTTGACAAGTCATCTGCTGATATGCAATTTAGACAAGATAATAAATATGTAAATTACTATCATGTAGATAATCTAATTAGAATTTAACTTTCAGACAAGTCTAATATTAGAGATATGTATTTTTGTTTTTGTATAGCATAATATTTTTATATTTGTTATACTCTTTTTTTCTTTATGTTAATTAGAGTATTTGTTTCTTTTTCTTTTTTCTTTATTTTTTTACTTATAAGTATTTTTTAATCTAGTAGCAGATTTTTATCTTATAAGTTTAGTTCATATAATTAGCTATATTTTATTATATACAACAATTTTTATTTTTAATATGAACTAGATATTAATAGTTTGTAATTTTGTTTCAATTAGATTAGAAGCAATCTAGGACCTTGATAAAGTGTAAAAGAACCTATTATTGATCTGAAAGAACTACTCTACTTAAGTAGAACATCTTTTAGGAAGATAAATACTTTTTGCAGTAGATTGTATCTGAGTAGTTAGTAGTTTAGAATATTAGTTTTTTTCTTATTTTTGTATTATGATTTCTTTATAAATCTTCTACTAATAAATCAAAGATAAGGTTATCTAAGTTAAAAAAAAAAAATTATTAGTTAGTATTTCAATAAATTTTATAACAACTAGATTATATTTGCTTAGCTATGTTTATATAGTATAGTTTAATAGATTTTTAAGAGAAAATCTATTATTATTTCTAATAAAAGATTCAATATTATTATATAATATTCTTATTCAATTAGTATAATATTGATAATAGTCTATATATACTTATGCTAATTGCTATATTAAAAATTCTACTATTAAGTTAATTGCTCATTTGCTTTATATTGTTTTTGATATAGCTTTATTAACTAAGCTATTATATTATAATATTCTTCTAGTTGCCTAGCTAGCCTTAATATTTCTTGTTTTTGATTTTCTATTTGATATTAAAATTCTATGATTATAAACTTATTTTCTGTAACTCTTTTAAACTCTGAAAAGTGATACAATATATTGTTAACAATTATTTTATTAGTATTAAATTTAAAAACAGAACTGAGATTATTCTAAGAACTAACATTAAGTCAGAATCTTTTACTTTTTTTGTTATTTTTTTTTTTATTATTATTAAGATAGCTTACATTGCCAAAGAAATTTTATTATAATTATATACAGGATATATATTGATAGTTCCTACTGTTTGTAATTACATGAAGCGTGTACAACAAGCTATACGTATAACTTTAGTTATTGTCTAATTTAAGTAGTCTACTGCACAGACAATTAGACCACTTGATTAGTTCTACACTATGCTGCTATACCTGTAACCTACTTATGAGTTACCTATTTAAACACTCTGTTCATTAATCCATACAGATCCAACCTAATATTACTGCAACATCTAACCACTTAAGCTAGCTAGCTCATTATAGATCCATTTATTCAGAATAGTTTAGATCCTCTCAGGATACATTGTACCTAATATATTGTAGATATTGCAGAGCTAGTTAACCTCGAAATATACTACTAGAGTGGTCCATACCTATTTTATGATTCACTTAGCTTAGACCCTTGTAGATATTTATATAACCCTAGTTTCTACTGTAGCTCTTTACCAGTTTTTTGTATTCTATAATCTCAGATATTTTATGAGATAGATCCTTTCAATCTAGTTAGCTGTCAAGCCAGATTGGTATTCTGATCCTCTCTATAGAACAGATTTATATGCACTCAACTTAATCTGCATCTTTTGACAATAGTTTCTTTTTTGAGGGGATCTGTTAAAGCTAGGTATATTTATATATAGATCTACATATTGTATAAATTATATTTTTGATAACTTATATAAATAAAACTATTAACTACATCAAAAAAACTAACCCTAACATACCTAGCTTTAACGTTCCCCCTTTTTGGATCAAGCATTAGCCAGTATAACTGTCAAAAACTATACTACTTTACCAAATTAGGATTTCTACTATGCAGGTCCTCTGCTCATAGATCCTATCAAAATTTATTCATGTAATATTACATCTTGTCAAATGCCTTGTTATACTTCTAATATCTGAATAATATTGGTGTAATATGATTTACAGAGTTATAATCCCAAAAATAAACAGAGTTTACTGTAAGTTAGGTACAAAGGTCTGAGTAATTATTCAAATTTGTCAACAGTAGGATTTGAACTTCAGATCTCTTACATAGTAGTCTGGTAACCTAACTACTATACTAAGATTGTTAGACCTTGTCAGAATCTTTTACTAGTACTAGAATTATCTAAAAGTTGTTAGTAAAAATAGTCAGTAACTACAATTTGATTATAATAGTTAACACAAATAGAAAATTGAGAAAATTCTTGATCTCTAAGTTCTAGTATTAAATTTTGAAATGCTTCAAGCTTTTTAATCACTACTTGACTACTAGCCTTTTTCCAATATCCTGATTTTAATATTTTATAATTACTTAATCCTTGATCACTATAATTACTAACTAAATCAAGAAATATATAAGAAAGTTCTTTAGCTTGCTTAGCTAATGAAAACTGTAATATTGTTAGCTAGTATTTTTGAAAAAGATTAAAATAAATTAGTTTTAATACTATTTAAGTATATATTTTTGCAAAATTTTATATATCATTTATCTTTTTAAAAAAAATAGATTATAAATAGATCTTTATGAATTATTAATTTAAAGATTTTTTAATATAAATTTATATATCATTAAAGTATAATTAGATATCATAGTTATATAAAAATTTTAGCTCTAAAAAAACTATCAAGAGCTAATTAAAATTTGTGAATTATCAGTAGATTATTCTAGAAATTCTAGAACTGATATCTATTTTTAATAATATCCCTAACTGAAATATATAAGAATCAAATATATTTTTTTAAAAAAAAAAATTAATAAATATATTAAAATTAATAAATAAATAAAATTTTATAATTCTGCTTCTCTAATATAAATATAAATAAAGTATTCTAAATAATTTATAACTCTAAAAAGATTTATAGAATAAAAATTTTTATGATTTTTAAATCATGAACTATTTTTAGAAAAAGAGTGAATAGTATTATATTGCTTCTACTTCTTTAGAGAGAACAACTAATTAGAGAGACTAATAACAGAAAATACTTTGTATAATATCCCTTGTTACAATATTTTGTTAAAGTTTTT